TAGAAAGGAAATGTTTGATATAAAACAATAAAAAATATTTCAAACCCTGCATTAATATCAATATATGAGACAAAATATGTCAGTTGATCCTAACTTACAAGCTTACCTGCTTCTCAAGAAGTTTTCCATCCTTGTATGACACCAGACCATTTTCAGGGAAAACATAGTCATATTTTCCAACCACTACCCTCCAAACAAGGAAGGAAAAAAAGGAGTTTTAATTTATATTATTCAGTTCAGAGAACATTTCCATGAAATTAACAGAAAAAAAAAATCTTCTTTCCTATTTCTCTGAATTCATAAAGCACCTGATATTTTTTTATTAAAAAAAAAAAGTCGGTACAGCCACCTCAAAGCAATTGGGTAAATTAATGGCATTCAGTTGCATATGATGTGCGGTAAATATGCCCAAGGATAACTGACAATCTCTGTGCCTCTCGATGCCAAATAACTACACAGAAAACTGGTGTGTTAGGAAGCAAAGTGAGAGTTTCTAACATTGTGTTTATTTACTGTACAAAAATGCCTCTGGGCCCCAAATAGACCAAACAGCATCTTTGAAAAATAAGATGGCAGGGTGGGTGCCACTCACTCTTTGAAATATCTTTATTAATTGCATGTTATTTTTCACTCTTCTTTTTTGTAAAGCTGAAAACCACTTTTGAAAAATGATTTTTGGCATGAAAAATTCAAATCACTCCCTATTGTTCCAATATCACTTTTAAGACTCTGTATTGTGCTGATGGTGTAAATTTCTTTTTGTGGCTGGTTGCAAACCATTATAATAAAGTTACCATTAAATCAGAGGTCTTCAAACTTGGCAACTTTAAGACTTGTGGACTTCAACTCCCCGAATTCTCCAGCCAGCATTGAATTGAAAACCCCCGATATTGCATTAATATTGCACTATACAATAGAATTCAATATAGTTACTGCCCTGGAATAGAAGCTGTTTTTCAGCCTATTTGTCCTTGTTTTTATTATTATTCTGTACCATCTGCCAGATGGTAATACTTAAAAAAAAGGGGGGGTTCCCAGGATGAGATGGATCTTTGAGGATGTTTTGAACTTTCTTAAGGCAGCAGGAGCTATAAAGCTCTTCCAAAGAGGGGAGAGGGCAACCCATGATCTTCTGGGCAATCTGCCCGTGCAATGAATGCGATAAAGAAGGCAAAGACAGCTGCCCAGCCCATAATGACAATTCAGACAACTTTGCTACTCCTGGCTGGGCTTCCCACGCCTTCACCTTCTTCTTACCGTCCTCCCCCAGTTGTTCTTGGATCTTTTCGAAGTCTGAGCCTCCAACCACGCCAACTTTCATCTTCTGCCTCAAAGCCTGTAGGAAATCTGCCATATCGGAGTTGATTTTCTGGATCGGTTGAAAAAGAGAAATTGGTGTGTCAATCAGATCAAACAGGGATTCCAGCAACACTCGCAAGCTCTCTTGATGGTCCCTATTATTATTTCCACACCACTCATTTATAATGTGCATTTCTTTCCATCTTGTTCTGAAAATGGTTCTGGGAGATAGGAGGGGAGGCCATGAAGTGATCCAGTGGGACTGAATTTGGGCCTTAAGCCCAAATTTCAAACTCTTAACAGACTAAGTGAATTGGAAGGGGCCTTGGAGGTCTTCTATTCCAGCCCCCTGCTCAAGCAGGAGAGGCTATAGTACTATTTCAGACAAGTGGCTGTCCAGTATCTTCTTAAAAGCTTCCAGTATTGGAGCACCCACAACTTCTGAAGTCAGAAGTTTTTCCAGCTTGCTTTCGTTCTTAATTGGGTTTAAAGAAATAAATTTCTTTGAAACATTGCAATAGACTTGGTTTTAGTGGGGCATATTGGGATGGCAGAGTAAAAAAATGACCAACTTTGGTAAAGAATGAAAAGTTAACTACTTCAATACAAATAGTAGCATAATAATACATTTCTTATTCTTTCTCTTTGTAGTAAAAATTACAATGTTTGAAGCAGGTTGTGTTCCTTTCATTCATTGAATATCAAATTACTGTTGTTATTAATTGAAGACACTCTGTGCAAGGTATTATTATTATCAAGCATTCACCGTGCAAAACATTTTACGAAATATAGGAAAAACAGAGCTTTATCTGAAGAATCTTACTTGACAAAAACTTGTTTCACTAAGCTTTACAACCGTTTGCAAGGTAAGGCAGTGTATTTATACGAAGTGAATCAATTAATCAAATCCTTATACAGACTATACAGCAGCATAACTGCAGGTGAAGAAATAAAATGGAGAACTGTCCTTTTCTATCATTGCTAACAAGGAAATAAAATGTCTAGCAGCTCATCAAACCAGGAAGTGGTCTTGAATTAGAGACAAGTCTTGTTATATCACTACTACATTTTTATTACGTTCTAATTACGGCCCTTATCATTAATTTCTTTGGAAAACGGTAACTTTGATCTGTGATGAAAGTAAGGTGAGGATTTAAGAAATCAGGACAAATGGCCCCAAACTACAAAGTTCAACAAACCCACAACTAAGTTTGGATAAATTACTCCAAGCAAGGAATAAAGAATTAAACAAGAAATGGAGCTGCTCCTTCTATCCAGCCACAAAGGATGCTGCTGTTTATTCATCCCCATCCAGCTTTACTCGCTTCTCATTATGAAGAGAGTCTCAACGATTAAGTGCAACAATGTGCTAAAAACTGTAATGAGGATTAAAAAAGAATAGCAAAATCCAAGATATGATGGAATACTGCATTAAGAAGCCTGGCCAGCAGAGAGCTTTCGGCTATTAATCAGAGAATAATGAAGAAGAAGAAGAATACAGGCAGTTCTTGACTTACAACAGTTCGTTTAGTGACCAGTTACAACATCAGTGAAAAAAGGGACTTATGGCCGTTTTTCACACTTACGACCGTTGCAACATCCCCATGATCAAAAGTCAGACAGTTGGCACGCTGACTCGTATTTACGATGGTTGTAGTGTCCCTGGGTCACTTTACAACCAGTTAAGTGTGACTTCACAATTGCAATGATTCACTTAACAACAGTGGCCAAAAAAAATCGTAAAACCGAGCAAAAACTCACTCAACCCCCGTCTCACTTAGCAACATGTATTTTGGGTTCAGTTAAGGTCACAAGTCGAGGACTGCTACCTGCAACTGCCGCCACCTAATCAGCAGGTGCAAACGTGCCAGGCAGTTGCGTTGCCGGCTTGCGAGGAGCTGCCTGCACCGCCTTCTTCCCCAAACAGGCTGGCTCCCGGGCTCGAGGCACTCTGCCCATGCTCAGAGGCCCCCTTCCAGCTCGGCCTCCCCCCTAGTCCCACCTGCCGAGGGGCGGTCAGCGTGCCGTCCACGTCGAAGAGGCAGAGAACCGAATCGCCCTCCATGGCTCTGCCCGTCGGCGGCTCCTTCGGACGGGATGCGCGGAGTTTAAAAAAAAGAAACTACAGGCCCCAGCATGCCTCCGGGCCGAGGCGATGTCTACACGCATGCGCACCCCTCCCTTGCAGCCTACCGGAGGCCTACGGAGAGTGCGTAGAGGCAGAAAGGAGCGGGCGGCGCTCGTCGCTTCCGGTTTTCGTTCGGCTGCCGCCCCAATGCGGGGCGGAAGAGTCGAGGGGGAAAACATACGTGGCCCGCGGGGATTTGTTAGGGCCGGTTAAGGGCAGAGTTCCTCCACCCTCTGCAGCTTTGGGATAGGTGGACTTCAACCAATTTGCCTTCAGGAGTTGTGGGAGGCTCTCAAGAAGAGACTGGACTGCCATCTGTCAGAAATGGTGTAAATCAGAGGTCCCCAAACTTGGCAACTTTTAAGACTTGTGGACTTCAACTCCCAGAATTCTCCAGCCAGCTTTTCTGGGAGTTTAAGTCCACAAGTCTTAAAGTTGCCAAGTTTGGAGGCCTCTGGTGTAGAGTCTCCTGTTTGGGTGGGGGTAGCACTAGATGACCTACAAGGTCCCTTCCCACTCTGTAAATCTGTAAAGTCGAAGGCTACCTGTATAGGAAAACACCTGTGCACTTACCTTTTCCTGGGGAGCTTCATTGTTGCAGTGTAGCTCAGGCAGTAGTTGATCAATTAGTTGATAATCTACACTCAGAATTCTCCAGCCAGCTTTTCTGGGAGTTGAAGTCCAACAAGTCTTAAAAGTCACCAAGTTTGGAGAGTTCCAATTTTGTTACCCTGTTAATTCACCACCCATCATGATTCCACACACACACACACACACACACCCATTGAACCCTATCCCCCATCTTGAAGTTGGAGGTGGCAAAACACGGATTTCACTCAAAACAGCGCCTGCCAATTCAGCCCCTCTGAAGTTGGAAAGGGCTTGGCCCGTTCAGAGCCAAAGCACAAAGACCCCTGAATAATTTTTCCTCGAGATATTCTCCCATGCATTAAAAGTGGAACAGCTCCCACTTTTGCACTATTATTATTATTATTATTATTATTATTATTATTATTATTATTATTA